AGACAGGAGCTTGGATTTACTGATCAGGGGAAGAAAAGAAAATTGAAAAAAAATGAAGGTTTCGATCGAGACCTACCCATCCAGAGTTCATCCAGTTTCACACAGCCTGCATCACGTTCCCACCCACCCCCTCCCATCCCTACCGTAGGTTGACCCTCGCCCATCCTCTTGGCTTTGGGGCCCATTGGCCCACATTAAGAGGCACACTAGATCTAGCACTTCTTTTAGTTTCCTTTTTCTTCCCCAGGTCTGATGTAAAACGAACTGTTGACCTAAACATAGGATTTATAAGGAAAGAGAGAGGGGGGGATCTTAGTAAAGAGAGAGAGGGGGATCTTAGTAAAGAGAGAGAGGGGATCTTAGTAAAGAGAGAGGGGGATCTTAGTAAAGAGAGAGAGGGGGATCTTAGTAAAGAGAGAGAGGGGGATCTTAGGAAAGAGAGAGAGGGGATCTTAGGAAAGAGAGAGAGGGGATCTTAGGAAAGAGAGAGAGGGGATCTTAAGAAAGAGAGAGAGGGGGATCTTTCTGCTTAGTCAATCATTTGGTTGCTGACTCCTCCATCCCTATATTTCTCTTATCTTGCTGGTAGCATTCTTTAGTAACTTTATTTATGTACAATAAGCTTTATATAAGAGAACTTGCTAGAGAGGTCTGAATTGACTATGTCACATTCATACTTTGGAATGAGTTTGTTTTTTTCAACATTATAATTTTGTAAGAAATTGTAATTTATCTACTCTCCCTGTTCATTTGAAAATTGTGATAGTGATTACTGATAACCCATCTTGATTTTTCCTTTGAATAGGATCATGTACAGAACAACAGCGCAGAAGAAAAGGGATCCAAAGACGCAGAACTGCCACTGTACTGTTCTAAAGATTTTTTTTATTTTTTTTTCAGCCGTTCTCTCAGGTTTTCAGAATGTTTAAAAAAGCATCCAAGCTGTTTAGCCGGACCGATAAAGACAAAGAGAATTCCTCAAAAGAGGTTTCAGAGGCTGAGGTGCTGGGTGTCTATATTGAGCCATTCTTTTATGGCCGCATCACTCGTCAAGAGGCGGAGGACGTTTTGAAGGTCAATGGGAATGCTGATGGCCTCTATCTGCTGAGAGAAAGCTTCACACCAATGGGGAACTTTTCCCTCTCTATATCACACAATGGCGAGTAAGTGGCCTATAATTCACCGTAATTTCGCTGCTGGTGTAGTTTACTTCCTTTTTTTTGTCTTTTTCTTTTGTTGTCAAACTTGTTTTGCCATATTGATGCAATATTCTAATTTTGATAAGAACTTCATTATTGTTTGCTATTCTTACTGACAATGTTACTTTCTTGATTTTGATAAGAACTTCATTATTGTTTGCTATTCTTACTGACAATGTTACTTTCTTCTTGATTTTGTACCTTGTGGACTCAATTACAATGTTTATAGGGCTCATTCTTTTCTTTTGGACACTTCGGATTTACTAGAAATACTTATAAACTAAAGTTGTATTTATCTACATAAGGCCCCACGTCCACTGACGTTGCAGGCCAGGCTCACATGCAAATGAGCTCGTTTTCGTCAGTCACTGACTGCCTTTGCCTGAATACGCGATTTTCCTGCATCACGCTTTTCCATCAGCCATACAGGTGACTAAGAAAGCCTCGATTCGACTCATTTTGGAAGGAAATTTGCATCTTTAAGTACATTTTTGCTTCTTCTTTGCACTTTACATGATCAATAAAGTTGTATCTCATTATAATATGTTGTACAATAGTAGATTTGTGCTGAAAAACAGCAAAGAAATGGAGTTAAAGCACTTGACCTAGATTATTTCGTTCTCGAGAGAGCTAAAAATAGGCTTGGTTAGACCAAGCCAATACCTAGGTCACCCATTACGCGGTTCGTACATGAGCGAAAATGTATACCAGGGATAGATTCTAGCCTCTGCAGAATAAAAGGCAGTCATGTCTAGACCTAAACTAAGTCTCTGTAGATCTACGCACCAGAGACAATGCTGAAAGTGTAAATAAATCAATAAATCGCCTGTGCTGTCTGTTGTTCTCGTAATCAAAACACACTGGGCTAAAAATAGGTTGAGCTGGTCTGACACGGTGGATGTGGATCGTCTTGAGTCGGTTCTACACCATGCAAAAACTTCGTACATTAGCCTGGCCTGGAAGCGATCTTATTTTGGTGGACGCGTAGACTTAGGCTTTGAAGTTTGGATGCCTATATTATCGTAAATAGCTGGATAGCTAGAATTATGATACTTGTAATTATATGGGTGAGTCCACCAGTAGGGGCCACTTTACTAGTTAAGTTATGTCTGTTCTAGTTACAAAGTTGTAATGCATTCTATGGCAAGCACATTGGAGCAATTGGTCTATAGAAATATAAGGAAGCTCCCATAAGCATAAGGAAGGTTGCACCTGTTACTTTCCTAACACTCTGGGATTGTTATGGTTAATTTTGACATTTCATTATGAAGCTCTTCCTATTTCCATTTTATTCATTTTTACTAGGATTTAATTGGTTGAGCTGTCTTACTGTGTCCTACAGGAAGCTAGAAAAAGCTGGAAAAATAAGATTCTGAATACATGAAGTTTCTTTTTGTTTTCTGTAATGTTCCTAACATCTCCTGTTCCCTCAACTTTCCAATACCCTGCTCCAGTGTCACATGCGATATCATTAAGTTTGAAGTTGATACTTAGTATTAGTTGATACTTAGTATTAGTTGATACTTAGTATTAGTTGATACTTAGTATTAGCACAATTTTTACTCAAATTCCTTTCAGATATTCAGGCTAGCACATTTTCTGTTTCAATTGTTTGTCCCGTAACTATCCTAACAAACATCAGTTGTTCAGCTTTAATTGTAATTGTAATATGCAGTAGTTTGTTTTCTTTTTCAGGTCGTATTTATAATTTTGTTATTTGCCCTTTGCTTAAATGTATGCTTTGCATCTATAGGAGGCAAATGATCTATTCTAGTGTTTTTCCATTTCATTTGCTTGTCCGGTAATAGTCCTAACAGGAATTAAAAGCTCCCTTTTCTTGATTTTCAATCTCGTATTGCTTGCTCTTTTTTTTAACCTTCGTGAAGTTTTAAGTTTGCCCTGTCTGATAAAGAAAACTGTGCTTGAATCCCTTGCCTCTGACAGTTGCCAGGAAAACGTTTTGGTCTAATTTGGTTTGCATTACTTGTCCAGTAACGTTCCTAACATACATGGGTTGTAAAATGAACATTTTCAAATCATTTGTTGTACTTTTTTTTTTTTTAAACTAAGAAGGGGTTTTACAGTAAAACTGAATCCCATGAAATGCAACATTTGTTCCTTAGTTTTTTGTAAGTTATTATCAACTATTTTGGACTTGAAATACTCCTAACAATTTAGGGAAAGTTACTTATTTTACAAAGTATACAAAAAACTACAAAAACTGGAGATCTGTACTTTTAAGATATTATCAATGGATAATTGTGCTATCCAATTATCAAATCAGCATGAACATACAGACATCTTGAATTTTCATGTCTGATGTAACAAAAAGTAGCCCTTGCTGGTGGACTGACCCATATACATATGTCATTATTTATGCTCTGAAATGCATTCTTCTGTCAATTTTTTTTTTTTGCGGGGGGTTCTGTATTTGGTCACTTTTAATTGTTCATGAACTTGGAGTTTTGGCATCTGCTTCTGTCATTCGGGTGTTTTATAATATATCTTTTCTCAAAATCTTCAATGTCCTTTTTGTTTATGAATACTAGAATATACTATGATTGGTCCAAGATGGCGTTTAATTTGCTAAGCTTGAAACTTAAGTTGTGTACATAGAATTTTAAATCACATTATCATCACAAGCTTTTTAGAAATTTTCTGATAATTTTAGTGTCTTTGGTGCTGAAGTAACTCATTAAACTGTACTTGGTTATTTTCACCTTTTACCTGATTCTCTGTACAAACACGTTCCGCTGAGCTCTGCCCTGACTAACATTTTTTAGCAGACTTTTCGATATTCCTTGTTTTGAAACATTTTTTTTTTTTTTCATTACAGGGCTATACATTATGCTATTCTGAAGCAAATTGATGGCAAATTCCAGATATCGGACGGGGTAGCTTTCAGTGACCCAGTGTCCCTGATCGAGCACTACAGGAGTTCCAAAAAAGGATTTCTCACTGTTCCGAAAACCCCATGTCTAAGAATCCCTCCACAAGAAGCCATTGCATGTAGGGGGCTCAGTTATACTGAGCTTCACTCTCGTATGAAAACAGCTGCTCAAAAAATGGTGAAAATGGATTTCCTATTTATGCATTTTACTGCTTTCCTAGATTCATTGTTAACTTCCAATTCCAAGTGTCTAGTCTCCTTTCGATTCTCTACTTTTGATACTGACTATTGCAAATTTGACTATTTTTAGTTTTCAATTGGAAGATTTGAGCTTATGGAGAGAACAATTCTATGTCAAAATATGTTACTTTTCTGGAAAAGAAATGTTTTGAGAAACATATCCTGATATTGCATGATGCCACAATGTTTCGTTCTCATACTATAGTTACAGGCTATGCTGCTTATCCGTGTTAATTCTATGAAAGTAAAAACTTTTACATTTCTTTGTATTTCTTCTTAAACAAATTAACCTTTAGTTTATATTTTTGTAAAATGACATTACCATTTTAACTGGCTATGATGACTTTGTTTTTTTGCTTTTTCCTTCTTTCTTTAAAGTGTCCTCAATTGAATTTGCAAGACTCCCCTTAAACTGTCTCCCTTGTCCTTTAATTTTCTATACAAAACCATCACAGCTGGCCAATACTGATTCATCTGGTCGCACATGAAAAAAGAAATATTTCCTAAACTTTGTATTACATGGTTGATGTAAGTATTTTTCTCTTTTTTTCAGAATGCAAATATAGCGAAAGCCTTTGGACCACTGCGTGAACCTCTTTTGGTTCACGTCTTAAAGACAATTCACAAGGACATGCCATGGTTCCATGGAGAAATCTCACGAGATGAAGGCAACAAAAGACTGGAGATGGATGGACATAAAGATGGCAAATTCTTGTAAGTGTCCACATGTTATTTTAAAAATGTGACATTCTATTGAATTTGTGCTTTTAATGTTGAGAACTCAAGTGCTAGAAAAGAATTCTGCAGGAAAATTTGTACAAGTTTTCTTTTTGCCAGTCTGAGGTAGATCTATATATGTCTCGGTGCGGTAGATCTATATATGTCTCGGTGCGGTAGATCTATATATGTCTCGGTGCGGTAGAATCAGGCGTTCATCAATTTTGGGGCATGTGGAGTTATTGGTATAAGCTAAAAGCTTGTTCATTTGCCTTGCTTTTGATGAAAAGAAACGTAGTGTATCTTGAATTTCAAGTTGAGATATTGGTGATTGAAGGAGATGGGGATTGCCTGATTTGACAGGTAGAATTAGCGAGAAAATGGCCGCCAAAGTTTGGTTATTTCCATAGCTTGATTGTCCGTGGAATCTGAAAATGTACATTTTTTTGCCTTGAATCCAGGTTTTTCAGTAAAACCCATACATGAATACGTTCTTAAAAGGACAAAAGAGGTGATGAAGCAAAAAACAAAATTTCGAATAAAATTACCAAACCGGAGGAAAAACGGGAATTTCTTCAACTTGATTATTTTGACAAGTGTCTGACTCTACCACACTGTCTCACATATTTATCATCTGCTCAATGACAATGACGAGCCACTTGTTCCTTTTAGTGCTGGGTTCATTTTATGCTTTGCTTTGTCTTATGTCAAGACATCAGTTTGAAAAGATATGGTTTGTGTGTTGGTACTCATGAACTTCAGTGAGTCTGTATTTTCATTGATGTGATTCATATATATGTATTTGTGTGTCAAGATATCAAGATAAATGTATTATGTGTATACATACGCACCTGTAAAATTGTTTTTTTAGAGAAAATGTGTGTTTGTGACAGAAAAAAGGGGTGATTTTTTAACAGATAGGCAGAACATTTTTTTTTCTGTGATTTTAATAGTATATGAGGCATAATCTGGCCGGGGAACGGTAGGTTCGTATTCTCATTTTGATAGCTATCTTTGGTCGTCGCAGTATTGTGTATTTTCAGAATTGTTTGATTAAGATTGTTTCTCCCCAAAAAAATCTGCCTACTTTTCAGTGAGTCTGTATTTTCATTGATGTGATTCACATACATGTATTTGTGTGTCATAAAATGTATTATGTACTCTGTGTGTTTGCAGGATCAGATCACGTGCTGACGGTCAGTCATTTGCTCTGACAATGAGTCATGAATTCAATCTTCGTCATTATTGTATCCTTGTCAGTGATGGAGAAACGTACTCAATAGAGAATGGAAATAAATTCCAAGCCCTTACCATTGTAAGTAGAAGCTAGCAAAACCTGAATGAGAAATGTGCATTTTGTGTCTCAATTATTGTATTTGTTTGAAGCTCTTTGCTCTAAGGCTCTGCTTCTTGTCTGTACATATGTTCTGTTTTTGTCCCACCTGAGGTTTTTTCTCTGCTACAAAATTGCTCTTAGTCTGATGATGTTCTTTCTTCCTTTTTTGTTTGGAATCAACTGAAATTTGTAAGAAAAAATAATATTCCCCTCTTTGTATTTTCTTCCTGATTGGTGTTGAGTTCGACATTTGTTGAGAATTTGACAGTAGGAACTTGTGTGATCTGAATCTCAATTTTGCTGGTATACTTTGTTTTCAACAGTTGTAAATGACGATTTCTTTAATGGTAAACAGTATGGTTCCCTTGTACTCACACAAATGTCTTGACTCTCTATTCCCTGATAGCTAGTGGACCACTATCACAACAAACGGGATGGTCTCCCTTGCAAACTTGAAATGCCAGTGCCCAACCCAGATACCCGACACCGGGTTTGGAAAGGTAAGTTTGAGTGTTGATTCTTATCACTGCTTTCTTCAAAACGTTCTGTAAAGGATTAGGGCTAGATGGGACCTTTAATTAGGGCTAGTCTCTGATAGCAAAATGCTGCTTCATTAGAATAAGATGCAAAAAGATTGTATATTAAAAGCCTCAACGCAAGATATTTGCATTGGATCTTTTGGACAGTGACCCATCTTCAACATGCACAGTGCCCAAATGTCCAGTGGAGGTGTCCTGGGACTTTCGCCCCTGTAGATGGGGGCCCCATAGTTTTACTACCGGGGAGCACAGAATACACCTGCCGTGATTCTGCGTGTTGTAAGAGGCGACTAAAGATGCATAGGTCTGGTTGCCCGAAAACTGCCAGTTTGCGGAGGGCCAACTACTCGACCCAGTAAAAATGGAAAGTTATAGAAACAGGAACAAACACAGCTTTTTATTTCTCCATCGTGGGAGACGGAGGAGCTTGTGTATCAGCAGGAACGATGAAGGACAGCGGACAAAGCCGAAAGGACTCTTCTGACCTGAAACCTTCTCTGTTGAACAAGTCTCTCCGAATTGCGTTTAGGAATGTTCGCACCATGTATGAAGCATGAAAGAGTTCTCAAGTGGCACAAGAGATGAAGAGATACTGGCTACACATACTAGGAAGTCAAGCAGCTGCCTATCAAGGAAAGTGTTAGTTTGCAACCCACGGGGTAAAAGATCAAATGGAAGACCACGTGAACCTGGAGAAGAGTTACGTACATGGATGTGCCATACCATGTACACCACACCATGTACACCACACCATGTACACCACACCATGTACACCACACCATGTACACCGTACCATGTACACCACACCATGTACACCACACCATGTACACCACACCATGTACACCACACCATGTACACCACACCATGTACACCACACCATGTACACCACGGAAGTTGGCAAAATTCGCCACTCTTGGTTGCCTATATGACAGAACTGTACCCCGGTAGCAAACCCGCTCGTGTTCGCAAGCCCCTAGTTCAAGTCACAAGCCTCAAATCACTAGGTCAAATCATCAAATCAAATCACCAGCACGTTACACTTAAGTCTAGCCTAAGCTTCAAGTCTACAACACTACTAGTACTAGCAATCCGCGAAGCCACTTGTGTCCGACCCCCTCATCCTCCCCACACCCTGCTTGCAAACCATGAAAATGAAATGGTGAAATGGTATGAGTTTAACACATTACACCCTAACTCGCCCGGGAATTCCCTTACGCGCTCCACCTTGACTCGCCCGGAACTGCCCGCGCCGACCCAGCGTCTTTAGAAACGAAAGTCTCGCCTTGACGAGACTCTGGGGCCGGGATTTTGATTTGCATAGTATAGCAAAAAGTTTCTTCTTTCGTTTGATACCGAAACGAAATTTTTCGGGTCAGTAGTTTTAGTATTAGAGCTGATCGAAGTGCGATCGCGTTACCAACACTTCGAAAGTGTCTCGACTTGTTGAAAAGCGACACAATTGAGTTCGAAAACGGAAATAACGATGGATTTGAGCAAAAACGAGCATGTGACAAATCAGATGGCTCAGATTTTGATGAAAACGTTGTAGGAAGAGTTTGGGGCGATTCCGATTGATCAGACAGAGCAAATCTAGAATTTAGATCTAGGGCCCGACCGCGAGGCTGAGAGTGAGAGTGACGGGTCGGACACCCCGATTGAACTAAAGTTTGAACATTTCCAACAATTTGCTCATACATAAAGTTATATTTTTCTGAAACTACATTCAGTTTTCTTTTTAACTTTTATTTTTTCAGGATTTTGGGAATTTGTTTAGTATTTTTAAAATGTGTTTTTTAAAGGCTTGTATTCACGGGAGGTGGGTTCCTTCCCCTTGCTTAGGATCTAACAATGGACTTCCCGTCCAGGCCCTTATCAACGCCCCTATCAACACTATTAGATTATTCAAGAGACGGGACCTCCTAGTTTACCGTCCGTCTCCGATAGGACCGAGCCAAGTGGGAAGTTCGTGTAAAGTGTCTTTCCCAAGGACACGACGTCGGACCGAGCTGAGGCTCGAACCCCCGAACCCGCAATCTCACGATTACGAGTCCGGTAGCCTTACCACTAGGCTACCGACTCCACTTGCAAACCGTGAAGGACACTTCGTCAGAAAGAGAGAGAGAAAGAGACCCGCTCACAGCGCTGCAGGCAAGCCTAAAATACCGCCCGCAGCACCGCGAGCCGCTCCTGCCTCATGAATTGCTTTGTGTCCCGTTACTTGCTCACAGCCGGCAAGCCGCTCTTGCCATGACTTGCTTTGCATCCCATGACTTGCCCGTAGACAAGACCACTCACAGTGTGAACTCTGAACCGTGGAGGAAGGGAGAGGCTGTGCTTGTTTTGGTGCAAGATGTAGAGAACCGTAGCTATTTTTAAATTCCCGCCCTTGATCAGCTGAGCGAGTGGATGCAGTGAGAAGAAGCGTAGTATTGTAGTAGCTGTGAGCCTTTGCCAATAGGTGGGGTTTTCTTCATATACCTTACAAAATCCTTTTCCATTCCAATAAAAATGGTGCTACAGCTTTGAAAATTGTATATGTTTTCGAGCGTAACTCATGTAGTCATTTCGCAAGGCAACTTTGATTCCCTGTGACTTCGTTTCTATCGGCCATTTTGGGGCCCTGGAACGAGCATCATATCGTTCAATGTTTACTCTCTTTCCTGCCTGATTCCGAGGGAATAGTTTCTGTACCTATCCCCAGTGTCACTGGGAATAGTCACTTGGTATTCAAAATTATGAGTAGGATGGGAGGAAATGAGGAATACGAAAGGAGAGAAGAGTGACACAATCGAAGACCTGGTGTCCGTAATATATGATAAGTGCACTAGATCTCGACCGAGTGTCCATTGACACTGAGACATAAGGCTTTTGTCCTGGGGAACAAGCTCAGCTGAAAATCTGTGCTGACAGTGTGAACGCATAACCCTGGCAACGAAAGGGTTAAATACATCTTTTAGGCTCTTTTTAGATTTACCTTCATGGTAATACTTAACCAAATGGGCTATAGCACTTTTAGAAGGTTGGACTGCAGACTTTCTAGGGTCACCTTCATGGTAATACTTAACCAAATGGGCTACTAGCACTTTTAGAAGGTTGGACTGCAGACTTTCTAGGGTCACCTTCATGGTAATACTTAACCAAATGGGCTATAGCACTTTTAGAAGGTTGGACTGCAGACTTTCTAGGGTCACCTTCATGGTAATACTTAACCAAATGGGCTACTAGCACTTTTAGAAGGTTGGACTGCAGACTTTCCAGGGTCACCTTCATGGTAATACTTAACCAAATGGGCTATAGCACTTTTAGAAGGTTGGACTGCAGACTTTCCAGGGTCACCTTCATGGTAATACTTAACCAAATGGGCTATAGCACTTTTAGAAGGTTGGACTGCAGACTTTCTAGGGTCAACATAAAACCCCATTTCGTGTCTCTCATTCTAGGTCAGTTAGCTCAGCATTAGAATGATGTAGTGCTGTGAATGAATATGTCAGGGAATATGAGACTGTCACACATTTGATTTCTTGAGAACTTTGGTATAAAAATAAGAATTAGAAATTAATAGTAAAGAGTTGCTTTTTTTTTTTTTTCAGGCTTACTTGTTACTTACAATTCATCAAGATATGAATTTTCGCTTTCTAAAGTTCCAATGCTTGCTTCAAAAAAGTGGAATGGGCAGTAAAATAATTGTACTCCTGAGCTCTTGTCATAATGGTTGTTCATGCTCTTGTCATAATGGTTGTTCATGCTCTTGTCATAATGGTTGTTCATGCTTTTGTCATAATGGTTGTTCATGCTCTTGTTTATTTGGGTTTTTTATTTCAGAATACCAACAACTCAGCACAGATTTGACTCAAAAGGTACTGGCAACTTTTTAGTCAGTCTTAAATTCTTTTTCTCAAGAAATCAAATTTGTAAGCTTATCTTGATCCCATTTGTTTTTCTAAAGGGTGAGATCTAGGATAAAGAGATCGGTGGGAAGGTCACTTGGAACCTGGGAGAGAAGCACAAAGAATAATGTGCAGAAAAGTGGGAAGACAAGAAACAATACCAATATCTAAATGATCGCCTGGTGTAGGGAAATTTGGAAAGTGTTTGTTCGTGGCCTATACCCTGATCAAGGGTAAGAAAAGCATTGATGATGATGATGATAACCTTATAAGTTACTGCTAATGTATACTTTGTCCAATTCCCTTGACCATCAATGCTTTATTTAATTGGACTTTCCGAAAAGATAAAAAATTGTTATTGGCCTTTTGGAGCCTTCTTGGGGCTCAAAATTGGATTTTTGCATCATACACTAATTTCTTGGTGCACACCTGATCATTCTGCGACAATAACATATTATCAGAATATGGGTAAGTATAAAGTGTAAAGTTTGGTTTCTCCTTGTATTTCCAGCCAGGACACAAGCCCGATCAGCCTGGTTCAAAAAAACCCCTACGACCCGTCCCTCCCATCCCATTAGACGATTGTTTTCCCGTGTCTCCGTCAACCCCAACAGAGAATGGGGCCTGCTTTATTGCGCCTGGGTCTTCACCAAGTTTAGAGCGACCTCCTCCACACAAGTGTTGGGAAGATGAGGAGGAGCTGGAGGATCAAGATAGTAGTGAGTAATAGTTTGTCATTGTGGATCAGGTTAGGTCAGGTCAATTTGGTGGCTTCAGTGCACACCGTGAACAAACCCCTCCACTGTTGTGTCAGATTTGCCTATCTGTGCTATAGTTCACAAAGTTTACCATTCCTAACACAGCCATTGACTTCCTAAATGGGTTCAAGTGCCAGCTGCAGCATATTGTGATTTCTGGGTTTAGACGTTCGTCAATCTTACAAACATGGGAAGTGTCCATAGATATTTAGATCTGATAGTATCAGCAGTCTACACGTTCCATTGCCGTAGTCCATGTGCAAGCCGTATACATGTGTCTTTTAAGGTCACAATCAAATTCATGTGAATTGTACCACAATGGTAGCTTTAGTATCAGCAGTTTACACGTTCCATTGCCGTAGTCCATGTGCAAGCCGTATACATGTGTCTTTTAAGGTCACAATCAAATTCATGTGAATTGTACCACAATGGTAGCTTTTGCCCCTTCATGGAAGAAAATCTGGCTAGCTCCAATTGAGTTCGACCAAATTCAAACTCAATCGGCAGTGTGCACTGGGTATGAAATGATATTATTGTCAATATTGACACCCTCAATCTTTGCATGACAAATTTTTCCTCTTGAAGACCACCAAAGTGTACATACCACTACCACACGTAATTTGATGGTAACACCAAAACATTGTTTTTTAGGAATGATTTTTGGGTGTGAATTTCTTTTATGCTTGTTTGGACTGGGTTTGTAATTGTTTGATTTTGGTGCGTGGAAGGACCTTGACCATCTATGATTTATTTATAGAGGCACCAGCTAAGGATGCTGCTGGTTACCCCCAGTTGAAGTCTTTCACATTAGTGCTTGCAGATTTGGGTTCTTGTCAGATATTTTAGGTCTTCTCGTGAAGCATGAAAATGTTCTACAAATTTTCTTATTCGGCTCAGTCCTTAAAGAGGTGGATTACCCCCCGGGGCAGTGCCACTGACTGCAGTGTCTTTAGGCCATTCCCAAAGGGGGGACATTTCTCGTTCAAGCATAGTAGAATTGTAAATGGGCTGATTCATGTCACGCTCATAACTGTGCCTGATCTACAACAGGGAACTGCTGCTTTTTCTTTCCTAATCCTTACTATTGTCATTTTCCCCTACTTCTTTTGTATGTTTGTCACACTGTTATGACCTGCTATTTCTTGGGTGCCTTGATAGTCGAAGGAGACCTTGTGCTGTTGAAGCTAGAGAGGTGAGCAGAGTAAGTCTGATTCCTTGTAAAGACTTCTCTGTTGACACCCACCCCTTGGCGCTCATATGACCTTATGCAGTTGCGAGCACCGTAAAACCCTCTTCTAAAAAAAATGATTTAAAAAAAAATAAATATATATATACTTGTCCAATATTTTCAATTGATAGGATAATTTTTGTACACTGTTTTTTGTCACAGGTTTGAGAAGCTTGTGCTTGTCAAAAAGCAATGCCTAAACTGATTCCATCCATGATTTTTTCATGCTCTGAACTATTATTTTTCCATGTTCAATTTTCAACCTGGCGTGCATCTATTTAATGAATTTCTGTGAGGCTCTAAGTTACTCTAATGTGTATTGTCATACCAAACTGATGGGAATAAATAGAGGGTAAATGACCTATATTCTGAATGTCCTGTATTTTCCCTCACACAAGAACAAATGAGAGAAAGAAATTGCACAACACATCTTTGAAAATTTCAAACTACCTCATTTTCTCAACTCTACAAGTCCTTATAACCTGTAGGAATCAACACAACATTGTAGACATGTCACCCTAGCACACATTTATTCAAGAATTTCACAAATTTAGTTGAATATTTTTTCAATGAAGGGCGTTTTTCTTATACCAGGCTCCATGTTGTTTACCCTTACTTCATGCCTGCATAGCAACAACCAAACAATGATTTATCCAAGAATTTCGCAAAGTTGCGACCGATTTTGGCGCTCATAGATTAAGGTCAGGCTTGTTTACAAGTTCTATTTCCTTTCAACAACTTTAAAAGTAGAAACTGTGTAAAAAAGTGCACATGCGTGTTGGATTCCGCTCTGATTTCATCGAGCCGCTCACAGCGGTCGAATGGCGACAGCGGAAAAACCCAGAGCTGCTGTCAGCGGCGGAATGTACGGAATCATTTCATGCGTGTTATGTATTTTTGTTATAAGTGATGCATTGGTAAACCTTACCTTTGAAAAGTATTATATCAGTAATGGAAACTTGTAGTACGGGTGGTTGAAGGGCACCAGTAGTAGGTCCTACTGTTCTTTTGTCCCCATGTTATTTTTCTCTCTTGTTTCCCTGCTCTAAATGACTTATTATGGAGATGGGTGTCTCTTTGCTCCAACAGACAAGTGGTGTCTGTTTACTCCAACAGGGGGCTCTCGTGGCCTAGAGGTTAAGGTGTTGGCCTCTCATTCAAAGGTCCCGGGTTCGATTCCGGGTAGCAACCAAAAAATTTTCTTCTCTAAAATTGTCTCCTTTCACATCCTTTCCTGATCTCTAACAATGTTCTGTTGTCTGCTTTCATTTCCACTTTCTGCCCCCACCCCCTCACCTCCTTTGCCCCCTCCTCTGGGCTCCTGACTCTTTCTGCAGCCTTTCTGCTGCTACTCCTTGGCTCCTCCTAACTGCTGTCTTTCTGCCACACCCCTGATCTTCTGGTAGGAAAGATCTACACCTAGCCTTCTCGGACAAGGGCGAAAAATCTCGGAGGGCCCGTGTGCAAGTTGCGCACGTTAAAGATCCCTTAGTGGTCTAAAATCGATAAGAGTAGGCTTCGGCCGCCACCCGGGCAAAATTCAAAATTTCCTACCAAAGAAAAAGTATTAGGTGTGTCCCGCGCGCTCATATGACCTTATGCAGTTGCGAGCGCCGTAAAACCCTATACTAAACAAACAAAGAAACAAACAAACAATTACTCCAACAGACAAAGCTCTAAATGACTTATTATGGAGATGGGTGTCTCTTTACTCCAACAGACAAGTGGTGTCTCTTTACTCCAACAGACAAAGCTCTAAATGACTTATTATGGAGATGGGTGTTTCTTTACTCCAACAGACAAGTGGTGTCTCTTTACTCCAACAGACAAAGCTCTAAATGACTTTTTATGGAGATGGGTGTTTCTTTACTCCAACAGACAAGTGGTGTCTCTTTACTCCAACAGACAAAGCTCTAAATGACTTATTATGGAGATGGGTGTGTCTTTACTCCAACAGACAAAGCTCTAAATGACTTATTGTGGAGATAGGTGTCTCTTTACTCCAACAGACAAACTCCAACAAGCAGGTTCAAATGGTCCCTTTTAAGCACAAGGGGGCTATCCCGAAAAATACTGTTTTGAGAAAATTGAAGGTAAAGTTTTTGCCCCTTGTTCAGTTTCTTTAAAAAGACAAGCAGAGTTTTCACTATATCCAAACAAATATACACACCAATGAAACCAAACTTCTCCTTCAGGTAGGGCAATGGCCACTTTTGGTGTAGGTCAAGATTTCTGGAAACCCCCGAAATCTGGGTCAGCCTGCTTGTCCTTAAAAGCGACTAAATAAACTTATGTGACAATGACAATATGACTTTTCCAGCGCAATTTCGTAGCTTGACAGTGGAGGAAGCTGAGGAACAGGAGAAGATCTACAGTGACATCAGGTTGGACGTCATGAACCGTGGCCTCAACCCAGACCAAGTGACCCTGTCAGAAAACTTGGGTATGTGCTCTTGTCAGGTGGGGACTATTATAGTTATGGTTTGACCCTTCGAATCTCGCATGTAGAGCCGATCAGACTTTGATCTTCAGAGCCCGCACAGGACACTTACACACCAACAAGCACATTACAGAATTAACCCCATGTGGGAACCCCATTGCTGACACTGTGACTACCACGAGGAGACTGTTGAACATCTTCTCCTTCACTGCCTAAACCGGGCAGTTCTTCCACGCAGGCTCCTACACACACCCACAGACTTACAAAGCCTGCTCTACTCTGGCATTGACCAGATGACAAGGACATGTGGTTACTTGAGGGAGGCATTGCGCTGCCAAGATCGAAATGCTCGCAGCTAAAGGGATTTGAAAACAACAACAACAACATCATAATTATGGCTTGGGGTTATTGTGTCTTCCTTGTTGGGTTGTCACTTTGAAGGGAATGATGGTGAGCTCAGCAGTCTAGTGGTCAGGCTACTGGACTCATAAACCTGAGATTTCAGGTTTGGGGGTTTGAGGCTCAGCTCAGTCTGATGTTGTGTCTTTGAGAAAGGCATGTTCTACAAATTTTCTCATTTGGCTGTCTTTAAAGAGGTGGATTACCCCCCCGGGCAGTGCCACTGACTGTAGTGTCTTTAGGCCATTCCCAAAGGGGGGACATTTCTCTTCAAGCATAGTACACGGCATCCAAAATTCCGTCTTAGCCATCTTTTAGTTAGTCCGGGTCCCCCACGGTAGGCCATAAATCACCGGCAGGTGACCTGCAATTTCACGCGTCAGGTCGGGGATTGACCGGGGTCAACTCGTGAACAGCGCTGTCCTATCTTGTCCTTTTCAGAACGCATTTCTTCCCCTAATTTCATGAGCCGTAAAATGATGCTCACTCTACCCCTAGAATCCATTTCTTCACCAATTTCACTTCGTCTACGTCTTCTTGGTATCTTGTGAAAGTTTCAACAGTTTTCATTTATTTGTTTGGGAATAATAACAGTTTTAAATTGTGAGTGTTAAATGATCGGAAGGGCCGTTAATAATGTGATCTCTTAAAATTTAATTACAAATCATTCCAAAATGAAACATTGGAGTTTATTTCTGTTTGCGGGGTGTGATAGCCATCAAATCATATTTTCTAATGATGTGAATTTTGTTTTTCCTGGCAATCAGTTAGTGAATTGTGTTCCTAAGTAAAAATTGTTAAACTGCAATGGGTCGGTCATACATATGAGAGGCATAGAGAGTCTCTGAATGAACTTTGTCGGGTGAGTTGGCGTTTAAATTTAACTGTCGAACAAAAAAAAAGTACAGAAAGCCTCGATTATGAAAGACAAAGTCAGGAGATATTCTCTTGATTTATTGGATTGATGTGAGGGACAAAGATAAACAGTCGTATTCCGCTAACATTTGTGTCAAGTGTTTTACCGCGATTTCAACTATCAAAGGGAGATAGGGTGTTACGTCACGTCAGTTCATGTCGCGAAAAAGCTGTTGACACCAGTAGGAACATATGGTGTGCGTTTGACAATAGCATAAATGTGAATTCCTGATCCGTTTGTCGGTATCGCTTGGGTGGCTGCATACAAAGATCCATTTCAAGCAAACATCGCAACACACCCCAAGCATTCCTCCATCCCCATGTATACAAGGAACTAACAGACACAATTTGAACAGAAACAAGAAAATACTCCTGCGAAACTGCAAAAATTAAGGAAACAAGTGGACTGGAAGCAATATTCAATCTTCTCAATGAAAGATTTAGCCATGTTCACACTGCAATATCACATCTCAAACCAGTCGAACAGTTTTCACTTCCAGAAATCCTCTAAGCAATCGACAATTACATGTCTGCATTCAGGCGCTATTTCCCCGCAAAGTCATCCCAAAGCCACACATATCTGACATATCATAGCAACACTGTATTCCACACATACAACAACACATGTCTGCTCTCGGGCTTTTAGGAGAACAGGACACAGAAAGCAGCCACCAAGCGATCTCAAAACTGGAAGCCAGAGCACGAAGGATCCCAAACCAGATAGACATAATGCGTTTTATTTTTGTGTTGCATCTCCTGCAAATAGCTCCCTCATTGGGTGCTGCTGGATATGTTTAGAAAGAAAAATTGTATTTATACTTTTATTCTGTACATGTTCATTTTGTGAAAAGAAATCGGTGCTGTATATTGAAGATATGTCAGTATATCATTATTCAGGAGGATACACAATCCATTGGATACAAAAAGTCTTGAATGCAGGGAAGCATTTTGGCTATCATGCTCATGACAAGTTCCATATTCGTGCTGGAAACAAAATTTGGAGAGAGTCAACTTCTAAACACATTTTCCTGTTATACATAGTAGTTTTGTAAATATTTATCGTTAGGCTTATAAGTTATTAGCCCCTCAAAATGTGTTTGTTGTTTTGACTAACTATAAATAGACATACATTTTAAGAGCATCTTACTCAAAAACGTGAGCAGCCATGGTATTGCTATTTCGTACCAATAAAGAAGTTTAGTTGCTTTCTCTAAAGAACAAACTTGTGTTCACGTATGATATTTTTTTTTTTGTGTAAGATGATAAAACATGTGTTGAAAAATTCATTTCACCAGCTACCGAGGCAGGTAGCGGGAGGTCAGGTTAGTGACCTCTGGGTGACCGGGCCGTCGTGACCCGGTCACTCCATCGCCGAGCCAACTAAAAGAGCGGTGTTTGTACGCCGTGAGTAGGATTGTAAATGGGCTGACTCATGTCCCACTCATAACTGTGCCTGATCTGCAACAGGGAACTGCTGCTTTTTCTTTCCATTTTTCCCGGGGTGCCTTGATAGTCGAAGCAGACTTTGTGCTGTTGAAGCTAGAGAGGTGAGCAGAGTAAGTCTGATTCCCTGTAAAGACTTCTCTGTTGACACCCTCCCCTTGGCACTCATATGACCTTATGCAGTTGCGAGCGCCGTAAAACCCTCTACTTAAAATAAACATTTTAAAAAGTGGTGGATGTAACATTCAGAGGTCCCATTTCTCCAATAAATACGGTCTCCAAGGAGCATTGCATCTAAACAATGGCGCACTTTTTTTTTCAAAGTAAATGACGGCCTGCTTCCAAAGTGTGAAAGAGTTGTAGATGACAGAGGAAGAAAAGTCAATGTGAGATTGTATGTTGATGCTGTAGGCAAGATTGGTGAGGTGGATTCTTTTTTCTGGGTACTTCAGACCATCATGATTAGTCGTGAATACAATGACTTTCCTGTTTGTTACCAATGATTACCATCGTTCTTTCTGTCCAGTTCTACTAATCGCATAATGTCCTCAGGTTCTGGTCAGTTTGGCGAGGTCAAGAAAGGTGTGTGCAGACTGATGGGCAAAGATATCCGTGTGGCTGTAAAGACTTTGAAAAATAATGATCGTGAAGCTGAGGTAACTACAGCCCAAATTATTTGGGCTACTGTCTTGTTGTTGTTAGGGGGGGGGGGGGATATATGAACTTCTTTTTTTAATCTTTTTTTTTATAGAAAGAATGGTTAGTTAGATGTTTTGTTGGGTTTGTTTTTCAGCTGATGGAAGTTTGAGGCTGCAGTATGAGAAGTTACGCTGATTGCAATGACCTGTGGGCATTATCTGTTCATAACTTAATAAAGCTTTTGTTGTTTGTTGGGTCAAGTTCTGATTGGTACAATTTACATCCTCTTTTTCTTTCTTCTTTTGGGGAAAAGTGGGAGAACCAATCATGATCTTCTTCTTCTTCTTCTATCCCGTGGTTGGGCCAACTGTGGGGCACCACTGCGTTGGAAAACCAGCTCTCGCCATCTATTTTTGTCCTCTGCTCTCCTCAGATTGTCACCCATCGTCTTTCCTGTCCACTCTGTAATGTTGTCCTCCCATCTCTTTCTCTGCCTTCCTCTCTTTCTCTTTCCTTGTACGGTTCCTTGCAGGATTGTTTTGGCAAGTCCTGTGGATCTTGTGACAGGCCCATACCATTTTAGTTTTCGTCTCTTCACTGTGGTCAGTAGATCTTCATATTGTCCCACTGCGTTGGTGATTCTCTTTCGTACTTCAGCATTTGAAACGTGGTCTTTGTATGAGATGTCAAGGAGTCTGCGGAAACATCTCATCTCTGTGGTCTGAATCTTCATCTAAATCATGATAGTTTCTATATAAAGAGTCAATCTATTGTTCATTGGAAAATGAAGGTTGTAGTAGTGAATGTTTTTCATGTCGTGTTCAAGGAAAGATACCAAACAAAAATTCTCAGAAATATACAGGGGGGTGGTGGGGAGTGGGAGTGGAAGCCTGCAAATATACTATGATTTCTTAGTACTTCTTTTATTCTTGAGAAAAATGTGACATTTGTGCTATTAGACACAGGATTACTGTTGTGTACTCCTCCTGTCTACAGTCTGAGATCATGAAGGAGGCAGAGCTGATGAAGAAGCTGGATCATCCTCACATCGTGCGCATGATAGGTGAGTACAGTATCTGTTATATTTGTCTGATCGCTGCCCTTTTCGGAAAGGGGGAGGGGTCAGGGCTGAAAATGTGTTTATTCATTGCAGAGATGCCAACCAGTACGATTTTGCGTAGTTTTGTACGATTTTTTGCCGAAAATACGCAAATACGACTTTTCATGAAAAAATAGGCATCCTGGAATGTGAAAATTACGAGATTCAGCTTGGGCGAGTAAACCTAATTATCTCGAAGTCCTTCTTTTGTCAAAACAGTACATGTATCAGTATCGCTGAACTGGAATAATATTTGAAAACCAAGTCCGATGTGGTCAGTAAGTTCATTTTTGCCGGTCGCGATCGTGATATTATATTCGCTCAGCTTTTCCCTGTCCGGAGAGTAAGTTTCACTTTAACGCGAATAGGCAGCTATGGCGGCAGGCGGAAGCGCATGTGACACTGAGGCTCGATCGGGAAAAATCAAGAGCTACTTTCGCTTTCGTTACCACCGAGAAGTTTGCCAACAGTTGTCTGATAGGCTAACGCAACGTTTGTGGCATGCACGTTGTGCAGTATAAATGCAATGTCGCCATGCAAATAAAAATAATTTATTAAATACTCGGACTCGTCGCTGTGCTGTCGCTTGTGGAAAAAGAAAAAAAAATACAAGCGTCGTCCGATTTTTAGATTGTCTGGCTCGCCATCGTGACCGGTCACTGAACCTGCGCGCATTCGCATCATAAATAAATGCGACATGGTGGGAGCAAAAACCGTCTTTGGTGGGAGTAACGGCGTTGCGAAGTATATGACTACGGAATAGGAGAGGAGATTATGTATTTTTTGGGGGTTTAAGATACTCTTGGGTGGGAGGTGGGGGGGGGTTAAGGCAACACTAGAGGACAAAAACTTGGAAGCGCATTTCAGAATTTTGATTAGAACTTTCTGCAAAGCGCGCGTTGGTGCAGGCCGTGTGCGGAATCAGGACTCCTCAAACTTTGCAAGTCTGTGTTATTGAAATAAAGTGTTCGCGTTTCATTGGATGGGTGATAGTAAATTATACCTACGGCGTATGTTGTAGCTTTCTGTTCAAGACGCAGATTTTCAGTGTCACTGCATCTTGCCCTCCCACAGTTGTTACAACTCTCACAGTGCACGGGTCTACTTGAGCCATTCAAGTTATTGCTTTTCTCTGAGTTTGAGCAATAATTTGAGTCTGTCAGTTCATAATATGAATCATGACACCCAGACTGGTTCTTGATAGTCGAAATTCTTGTTTTAGGCCCTTCTGAACTCTCAAAGCAGGATTTATTTTTTATAATAATGAGAGGGGAATATTATATAATAGACTGAAATACTTAAGTCAACCAAGACCCCAGTACAACATTGAACACTGACATGTTGTTGACTGGATACATGTATATTGTATGCGTGTTTGCTCCCTTTTTCGAGCTGGTGAGCTTGTAATTTTTTTAAAGGAAATATTGCTGGACACCCTGAACATTTTACTATTGCTGGTCGGTCGATTGTGGAGAATACACATTTTCCCCTGAAAATACACATTTTCATATTTCCCAATACTCATTTCGGTTTTCTGTGGTTGGCATCTCTGTCATTGCGTTTCATTACTAAAATGATTTTTTTTAAAAATAATAAAATGCATGTACACACATCGTAAGTTTGCTTTGTTCTGAGATGGATATTCTAGTCGTGTACAGTGGAGTTATTTTTTTTATGCAGGAAGTGACATTAAACGTATTGGAAACTGTTCTAAATATGTCAAAAATGTTTGAATGATAATGCACCATCATATTTATCAAATCTGTTAAGACTGTACATTCCAACTCGCAGTTTAAGGTCATCAGCTGACAAAAAGAAGTTTATTTTACCATCTATGAAACTTAAAACAATGGGTGAAAGGACATTTGAATAGCAAGGCCCCAAGATCTGGAATGCTTCACCAAGTACTTTAAGAGAGATCCCTGAGAACCTCTAGTTTGTATCCCTGAGAACCTCGAGTTTGTCCACGAACTGGGTTAAACGAACTATGACCGGCCTCGCGTTGCCCATGCCGTGTGCGCCCACCCAACCGGTGTGCACGAATGATGTCTTCCTCCTTCCAGGTTTTGGAGGGCACTGCTTTGTTTAGGAGATCAGTTATCTTCCTTCTCATTTCCGTGTTGTCGCCATCCCTTTCCTCCTCTATTCCATGAAAAATAACATTTTCCCGGTGACCGTACTGTTCATGACGCTCAATACTGTCCTCCACCTGACGTAGACGGTCCTGTATTTGTGTAATTAGATCATTGTTTGCGTCGATGTCAAGTTGGAGGATACCGAGGCGGCACTCTATTTCATCGACTCGTTCTTTTACAGCATCATCATCATCATTGCCTTTCTCACCCTGGGTCAGGATATAGGCCACGAACAAACACTCTCCACCTTTCCCTATCCTGGGCTAGTGGCTTGATGTCACTCCACGCCTTCCCACTTTTCTGTACATTCATTTCCGTGACTCTTCTCCAGGTTCCACAAGGTCTTCCCCTTGATCTTTTACCCTGTGGGTTCCAATCTAACACTTTTCTTGTTATGCAGCTACTTGACTTCCTGAGAGTGTGTCCAATCCATCGCCAACGTCTTCTTCCCACCTCATCTCTGACCGGGCTCTGTCTGGTTCTTCTTAATACTTCCTTGTTGGTGATCCTGTCTCTTTTCCAGCATGTTTACTCCCTGTTACTTCTGCTCTAGCACTGTCCACTTTTTGCATAGAACATACCATCTTCTGCACCTCCATTGTAAGGGCAAGGAATTTTTCACAAATATTATTGTTAGATTGTGTCGAGCTGCTCCTGGAAAGTGGGTCCTGGGTTTGACAAGTATAGTGCTGACCACAGGTTGGACCATGAAGGAAAGTGGGTCCTGGGTTTGACTCAAGGTCACCGGCTAAAAGTATAGTGCTGACCACAGGTTGGACCATGAAGGAAAGTGGGTCCTGGGTTTGACAAGTATAGTGCTGACCACAGGTTGGACCATGAAGGAAAGTGGGTCCTGGGTTTGACTCAAGGTCACCGGCTAAAAGTATAGTGCTGACCACAGGTTGGACCATGAAGGAAAGTGGGTCCTGGGTTTGACTCAAGGTCACCGGCTAAAAGTATAGTGCTGACCACAGGTTGGACCATGAAGGAAAGTGGGTCCTGGGTTTGACTCAAGGTCACCGGCTAAAAGTATAGTGCTGACCACAGGTTGGACCATGAAGGACTTTATACAGTTAGTTTCTACCACTACTGCCCTCATCGCCAAAGCACAAACAAATAATCGGCTGTTCGACTCACTCTGTTTCTCTTGTTTTGTGTTAGAGCAAACGACGTCTTATTGTGTTTTTGGCTTACTCCACCGGTAAACTGTCCTATTGTGCAAGGCCACTGCTCCATGGATATCATGGTGGCCTTACTCACACTCGCAACACAACACACTCCAAGAAAATGGGAAATTGCCGTAAAAATACTATTCCAAAAAACACTTTGATACTCTCAAAGTAAGCACAGCACTCTCACAAACTTAGGATATAAAATTTCACACCATACGCCACGCAGAAGCCGAGGTATTTTCCGAAAATGTCAGAGCTCGAAACATACGTCTTCACTTTTTCGCTTCGCAGGACGAGAGTCTTACTTAAGAGAGATCAAATCTTTTGATTCATTCAAGTGTCAGCTGAAGTCGTTTCTGTTTTTAAATTAATAAGATGAATATTTGGAGTAATTTTCTTTTAGTCAGAACACGATGTTTTATGTTACCGGTACGGTTGTACGAAGTCGGGGTTGAGTGCTATGTAAATGTCATTTATTATTATCATTATTAAATGACGGGGGATGTAGTTTAGTACGTTTTCCAATTATATCCTGAGCATTGTTAAAAAATTGTGCGAGATGGGGTACAAGCTCATCACTCTTGGTTTTTAATATAAATTTCCCCGCCACATAAAATCAAAACTCGGCTTTTTATGTGTGGTTCCCCTATTGATAACTACATTGAGGCCCATAATGCTAGCTACTGTGGGACCCACTATGACTAGCTACTGTGAGGCCCATAATGCTAGCTACTGTGGGGCCCACTATGACTAGCTACTGTGAGGCCCATAATGCTAGCTACTGTGGGGCCCAGTATGACTTTTATTTTGACAACCCTGCACGTAAAGTTCCTTGATGATCTGAGTGAGTGGGTGGTTGGCGGGTGCTTTGGTGTGGTTTGCTTCTTCTTTCCTATCAAACATCTATCGTCCTTATCTCCCCTCCTTCTTTTTTATGTTTGTTACTCTCTTGTAACACCTCTAATCTTCTGGCGCTCATATGACCTTATGCAGTTGCGAGCGCCGAAAAACCTCTACTAAAACAATGACCTGAGTGTGACTCTTTCTCTTGTCCAAGGTGTTTGTAAAAGCAACAGCCTGATGCTGGTGCTGGAGCTTGCTGAACTGGGCCCGTTGAAAAAGTATCTGGAGAGACACAAGTACGAGTTGGATTTTTAAAAATGTTTACGTTTGTCCTCGTTGTAGAGTGTTGTTGATGTGTTTATGGCCTGACAGTTCGCGTATATTTTGGTGTGTTGTTGATGTGTTTATGGCCTGACAGTTCGCGTATATTTTGGTGTGTTGTTGATGTGTTTATGGCCTGACAGTTCGCGTATATTTTGGTGTGTTGTTGATGTGTTTATGGCCTGACAGTTCGCGTATATTTTGGTGTGTTGTTGATGTGTTTATGGCCTGACAGTTCACGTATATTTTGGTGTGTTGTTGATGTGTTTATGGCCTGACAGTTCGCGTATATTTTGGTGTGTTGTTGATGTGTTTATGGCCTGACAGTTCGCGTATATTTTGGTGTGTTGTAACTCTTTTGCTCCCCTCAAGCCATTGACGTTACTTACAAGTTGGGCTGCTTTCATTTTGCCTTTTGCTGAGAAGTACCTAGTGAGACACACATATCAGGGGTTTTTTAATTTTATTTTTACGTTTGTCTGAGTGGTAGAGTCTTGTTGATGTTTGTCTGAGTGGTAGAGTCTTGTTGATGTTTGTCCGAGTGGTAGAGTCTTCTTGATGTTTGTCTGAGTGGTAGAGTCTTCTTGATGTTTGTCCGAGTGGTAGAGTCTTGTTGATGTTTGTCTGAGTGGTAGAGTCTTGTTGATGTTTTTCCGAGTGGTAGTCTTGTTGATGTTTGTCCGAGTGGCAGAGTCTTGTTGATGTTTGTCCGAGTGGCAGAGTCTTGTTGATGTTTGTCTGAGTAGTAGAGTCTTGTTGATGTTCGCATGGCCCTATGAACTATAGATTATATTGTGTTGTTTTTGTGACTGTTTTGCTCCCTTCGGTCCGTTGAGATTACTGAAAAGTTGGGCTGCTTTCACTCTGCCTGCCAACCAGGTATGTGTAGGTATGGGTAGGATGTGTTCCTACTGAAAGATGGGGGTACATCATTGAATGTCTCCTCCACATTCCAATTGAATGTATTACCTTGACATGCAAGGAATAGAGCTGTGTTAGCACAGTATACATGTACGTCCACGCAGCAAATGGAAGAAATGAGACAGTAGACAGAAATCACCGCTTGATTGTTGACAGACAGGGTCTGCCAGTGGTTCCCTAGTGTACCGTCGGGACTTCACAATCACAACATGTAGATCTAGACAGACATTGAAAACAACAGGAGCCAGACACGACTGTACCGGTGGACGTACTCTTTATTACTGACCAGTAGTGACCACTCTTCTCTAAAATACGTGCCAGTGGTTACAGTTGCCAGATCTTCCTAAATACTAAGGCAATAGAGGTGGTTTGCCTAATAGTAATGGACATTACACCTAGAACCACACTTGATTGTTGACAGACAGGGTCTGCCAGTGGTTCCCTAGAACCACACTTGATTGAAATAGGAAAGTAGGGAAGTGGAAAGAAAAGGTGAGAAAATAGGTCATCTTTCAGGTTTGTTTTTTGGTGGTTACTGGGCGCACTGGTGTGGCCTGCAGTTTCTACTTCTTATCACTCTTGCAATTAACAGTTTCAGATGAAGTGTTGCCGCTATTTCGTAAACTCGTTTTAAATTATGACTCACCAACATGTGAGATTTGCTTTTTGAAACGGTCATTTGTTTTATGCTGGTCATGTCTTTTGCCGGAGATTTGGGTTGCAGGTGGCACATTTTTTTTTTATTTGGGGGGGGGCCTCATCTGTGCATGATTTTTACTTTTTGTCTTTTGCAAGATTTAGAGGACTGCAGACAACTGCTACTAAAACAAAACTTGATCTCAAATCCTTTTCTCCTCAGAGAAATGAGAACATGGCACCTTCTTGAGCTGGCGACCCAGATTTGTGACGGCATGAGGTACTTGGAGCAGCATGACGTGGTGCATCGAGATCTCGCCACCCGCAATGTTTTGCTTCTGACAGAGCATTTCGCCAAGATCAGCGACTTTGGCATGTCTCGCATGGTGGACAGTTCAGAGTATTACTTAGTACGTGTTTTCTTCGCCTCATATAGATGTGTAGTTCTCACAACTTGTTTCTCCTGACTCTTTGAATTTTGAATTTCTCAACATATTTTTTTTCTGCTGAAATGTAGACACACATCCCATGGCCCCTCCTATCTATACAACCCTCTGCACATGCCTTATTCACGTCAGTACCATTAATTTTGATTGTAGTGGTAATAGTTGAATCAGTTGAATCAATGTATTTATCGTTTCTCCCAACTGAAATGTGTGCTGTAAGTGCTGTATGACGTAGAATCTTCACAAACATTCTCAACTTCTTGGGATGCCTCAATTACTGGATCGCTAACAACAACAACAACTTGGGAAGCCTCAATTACTGGATCGCTAACAACAACAACAACAACTTGGGAAGCCTCAATTACTGGATCGCTAACAACAACAACGACTTGGGAAGCCTCAATTACTGGATCGCCAACAACAACAACAACAACAACAACAACAACAACAACTTGGGATGCCTCAATTACTGGATCGCCAACAACAACAACAACAACTTGGGAAGCCTCAATTACTGGATCGCCAACAACAACAACAACAACAACAACAACAACAACTTGGGAAGCCTCAATGCAAACTGACATTCTTTAGATTCTCAAACACTGACATACAGACAAGACCTTCAGCTGCCTTAGTTATCTTAGCTGGATACCCATTTCCTACAGGGTTAAGTGAAGGAAAAGCTTAATTCCCTAGGATACAGCACCTGACTTAGAACAGGAGCCAATGATTGCGAGTTAAAATAAATCTTCCGTAAGACTACAGATGTTCACATTCGATCATACACCCTCTCTGTGTTTCCTACATTTGCCCTATTGTCAAAAGATTTTGTATTCTACACATTGATGCCCAGAGTGCTTAGTGGTAGACTTTGTCTTTGATAGGTTTATAAAGTAGTTCTGGCAGTGAAAGGGTTTGTCAAATCCGGTGGAACTTTTTCACTCTAGACTCACTAAATAATGTCTTGACCTCATGTTGCAATATCGTCCTCCTCCCCCCCCCCCCCACCCACCCCTCCTCTCCTCCCCCCGCACACACAGGCTCACGTCCCCGGCAAATGGCCTCTGATGTGGTACGCCCCGGAATGTTTGTACTATCACAAGTTTGACACGAAGTCGGACGTTTGGAGCTTCGGTGTCACCCTGTGGGAGATCATGTCTTTCGGCGCTCGCCCTTATGCTGTGAGTGTTGAACATTTTGTTTCGTTTTCTTTGTAATAGGTGGTAAAACTGTTTTGTTCCGTTGGGTTTTTCGGTCAAAAGTTTAGTGTCTTGAAATACTCCAATTGATCTTTTGAAAAGCTAAGCAGTGGGCCCAATGGTTGGAGCAGAGGGGTTTGGTGGGTGTTCGACATAATAATAAAAATGGTAGCAGAGCGTGGTTCGTTCTTCTTCCCTCTGTCAACAGGAAGTTTTTTTTATTATTGTTACAAAACAAACAAAAGGGGGATCATCCTGATCCTACATATTCATGACATCAGCAGAACATTGCGCATTAAAATGTTTCATAAAATAATAATAATAATGAGGTGACTTTATCTATTAACAGAAAGAACAAAACGAGACACTAAATTAAATATCACACTTGCATTTCAGAGGAACATAGACGTTCACATATGTTTTATTCTCCAGTTATAGATGTTGCTCCTCTATTTTGTGGGCAGTGGGTCTGTACATACTACGTTAACCTCCCACCCCCCACCCCCACCCCCCTTGCAATTGACTATGAGGTAAGTTTGCTCTGCAGTCAAATGTGGGTGCTCATTCCTTATGTTGAGAGGCTCAGTAAGAGTATTTTGACTTCTTCCTGTAAAACCTCTGTCCATTTTCCTTCTCTCTATGTTGACCTACCTCTTGACCTAATTCTGTCCATCGTGTCCTGTGCTGTGGGGTTGAGACTATAATCTCGATTCACTCATTAATATTTTTATGCCATGCATTTGAATACACATTTGTGTTATTGACGAAAATTTTTAGTCTCAAACTGAATGCCCATGCATTCAAGTCTCCTGTACTGTACAAGAGCTTAAAACATTATCAGTGGGTGGTTGGCAGGTGCTTTGGTGTAGTTCTTTCCCATCAAACATGTATCGTCATTATCTTTGTCCGTCTCTTGTAGCACCTCTAATCTTTGACACTTATATGACCTTATTGTGTTGCAAGTGCCGTAAAACACTTACAAAAACTAAAACTAAAAATATTGACATTTTTACACCTGAAGTTCACTGCAACTCAAAAGTACAATTTCATTCCATTACAATTCTGGCCCTGAGGAAAATTGCATTTTTAAAGTAGAAAAATTGCAAGGTAAACTGCCGAAAAATTGCAAAAAAATTGCAACCTTCCCATCCCATTAAAAGTTTCAGTTGAAAAAACATGACAATTTGAGTGCAATAGCAATAAAAGCAGAACCGCCTTTTAATAAATCTTGATGCACAGTACAAATTTTCTTAACAACGTTGACTAGATCTAGTAACAACACACGAGTATGTTAACAATAAATCATCGACCAAATATAACAATAATAACATATACTGCGTGACACAAAAAACAGAACCCTCGGTTTTCGTAATAACTTTAAAAAGGATGCATAAGATTTGACCATCTAGTACATACCGGATAAGCTGCTTGGTCCATGCAAAGATCTAGAAAAGTGTATGAAGTCTCTTGAGGTTTAGTCCAAAAAAAGATTTGGCGGGAGATTTACGACACAACCTCTAAAAATACAAAATAAGCTTACGCTACTATCAATTCAGATCCTGTTCCATTTTTCTCTTGAAACCTTCAATACACCTGTAATCTGTATTGAAATCTATTTCCGATATTTTCTGTTTCAAATCCTGTATGGTATAGTTTTAATACTAAGTTAAATCGTAAAACACAGCAAAAAAACATTCTTCCATTATAAACAATAATAAATAATAATAATGTAGGTCATTTCTATAGCGCCCACTCCCGTGGGAACACAGCTTAAGGCGCTTTACATAAGAAAGGTCGGCTCTATTTTTCCAAACGCTCGGGAAAAGAAACTTAAACTCTCCGTTCTCGAGATTTTTTGGTTATTTGCGAATTGAGTGGCCAGTGTGTGTGTGTGTGTATGGTGTGAGTGTGCGTGCGTGTGTGTGTGTGTGTATGGTGTGAGTGTGCGTGCGTGTGTGTGTGTGTGTATGGTGTGAGTGTGCGTGCGTGTGTGTGTGTGTGTATGGTGTGAGTGTGCGTGCGTGTGTGTGTGTGTGTATGGTGTGAGTGTGCGTGCCTGTGTGTGTGTGTGTATGGTGTGTGCGTGTGTGCGTGTGTGTGTGTGTGTATGGTATGAGTGTGCGTGCGTGTGTGTGTGTGTGTGTATGGTGTGAGTGTGCGTGCGTGTGTGTGTGTGTGTATGGTGTGAGTGTGCGTGCGTGTGTGTGTTTGTGTATGGTGTGAACCCCGGGGGGCATGCAGGGATTGTTTTTGTGATTCAGTTTTTGCTTTATGGATGACTCTGCTAGTTACTAAATAGGTTACTGCCAAAGTCCAGCATGACCTTTTGAAGGTATTTTCAAATGAAGTACAATGTATAGTCCGGGAACGTTTCCCCAACTGCATTTGAAGTGTCTGAATATTCACACAAATAGGCTAAAAATTTATAGCTCTAGAAATTGAATTCGACGCAAAAAAATGCTTCTTCCCAGTCCTGGCAGAATGAATGACGCCGCGGAACTCTCACAAATAACCGACAAAACTCGAGAACAGAAACCGTTGGGAGAAATAGTCACTTCGTTACATAAATACATCATGTAGTTCTACCAACAATATTCACACCCGAACGCAGGCACGCACACACGCGCACACACACAGACACACACATACGCACACACACACACACACACACACACACATATGCGCGCTCTCTCTCCCGCACACCTTACGCACACACTCACATGCACACCATACACTGACTTGCTTATCACATGCGCAGGCTTATATTCATTAGATCTAGATCGAAATCTCTGTCTCAGCTGGTGGCACTTGCCGTTTTTTTGGACGAGTCGTGTGTATATTCCGGCCTGAATTTCCGGTTATGGCTTTTAGAGTACAGCCCAGGAGGCTAGAGCTGGGCGATACCGTGATTTACTCCGTACTGGCACCATTTCGTAATTAAGATTCTGTTAAAATTAAAGCTTTGATGTATTCTTGCCTAACATTGCAAGAAATTGCGAAAAAAGCAAAAAAATTGGGTGTATATTGCGGAACTTGACGAAAAACGCGGCCGCCGCAAGACTGCGATTTCCTGGGGGGCCAGATAATTCCATCCTTAATCTAGAAATTATATATTCTGGGGGGTTTTCTTTGTGCTCAGGCTGTGCTTTTTGTGTTGTAAATGTTCACCTTTTCATGAATGCTCAGGCTGTGCCTTTTGTGTTGTAAATGTTCACCTTTTGTGTTATAAATGTTCACCTTTTGATGAATGCCATTCCAGCATAAAAAGCCACCCCAAATTCTGGCCTTCCTTGAAGAAGGTCATCGGATGGCCAAGCCAAAAGATTGTGATGATCGAATCTACAACATTATGCTGTCCTGCTGGCATTTTCAGTAAGTGTGAGCCTTGATTGAGCCTTGATGTGGTCCTTTTCTTGTGTTTCGTTTTCTTTTCTCTTTGTCTTGTATCCTGACAGAACCGTCCATCTATCTTGTGTCCTGACAAAACCGGCCATCTATCCTGACAGAACCGTCCATCTATCCTGACAGAACCGGCCATCTGTCTTGTGTCCTGACAGAACCGGCCATCTATGCTGACAGAACCGGCCATCTGTCTTGTGTCCTGACAGAACCGGCCATCTATCTTGTGTCCTAACAGAACCGGCCATCTATCTTGTGTCGTGACAGAACCGTCCATCTATCCTGACAGAACCGTCCATCTATCCTGACAGAACCGTCCATCTATCCTGACAGAACCGTCCATCTATCCTGACAGAGTCTTGTGTCCTGACAGAACCGTCCATCTATCCTGACAGAACCGGCCATCTGTCTTGTGTCCTGACAGAACCGTCCATCAGTCTTGTGTCCTGACAGAACCGGCCATCTATCCTGACAGAACCGGCCATCTATCTTGTGTCCTGACAGAACCGTCCATCTATCTTGTGTCCTGACAGAACCGGCCATCTATCCTTACAGAACTGGCCATCTGTCTTGTGTCCTGACAGAACCGTCCATCTATCCTGACAGAACCGTCCATCTATCTTATGTCCTGACAGAACCGTCCGTCCATCTATCCTGACAGAACCGGCCATCTATCTTGTGTCCTGACAGAACCGTCCATCTGTCCTGACAGAACCGGCCATCTATCCTGACAGAACCGTCCATCTATCTTGTGTCCTGACAGAACCTGCCATCTGTCTTTTTCCTTTGTTTTGTTCTTTTCCCTCGTACATGTACGGCCAGAATCAGGACTGGAGAAAGGTTGATGCGAGATTGAGATCTGTTGTTATATCTGGACTCCTGTCTACTTCTCCTTCCAATGAAATTCGATTTCTGTAAGCTTTTGAATGATAGGGGCACCTCATAATGATAAAGATGATAATAATAATATTAATAATAATAATAATAATGATAATAATAATAGATTTCATTTGTATAGCGCAAATTCCTGTTCAAGTCAACAGCAAGCCCAGATGCCCATGTGATCAGCCCTCTCCAGTTCTGACCATTGTGTAGTTACTTGAAATATAATATGCCTTAAATAATTCTGTTCTCAGAAAAGAGAAACGACCAACTTTTGCGGAGCTCCATCCCAAGCTGAACAAATTGTTCTCGGACTTTCAAGAGCACTAATTCTTTCATCTGGTACGGTATGTGACTTACCAAATCCTGTCTGTGTTATCCAGTACTTTGTTGGTTTCCCATAATCAGTTCTTGGGGTCTGTAGTGCAAACAGCCATGAGATCCTAAAATGCAAAATGGTTGAAAGGATGCACGTTTACTGAGGTTTTTTCTTGTCTAAGTCAAGCGGCAAATGAGGCCTTATCAACCCTTGGACTGTGAAGACCTGAATCATACAGATGATGAGTAGAAGTATTGTTGAGTATGAAAGTAATTTTATATACAGTATAACACGGATAGGTCGAACACAGAAGACTCTAAATCACGCATCTGTCGAACTGTGCCTTCTGTATTGAGGTTTTTTTTTCTTTGCACGATATCCCTGGAACTACAGATCCCTTGAACAAGCGAGGCCGGTCCCGACGTATTCGAGCTGTCCATGTTGTACTGTACTTCCCTGATTGTAACTTACAGTAAGAATGTGTCTATTTGGAAGGAAAGGGTTCTGAGAGTTTTGAGAGTTTCCTCTTGAACTGATCCAGTCAAACTTGATTTTTTGGCTCCAAGTACTCCTAGTTCTGAAGGGGGACCGAAATAGAACCAAAAACTGAACTTATATGAAGAGCTAGAGGCTTAGCTGATAAGAGTTCAACTTAAAATGTTTTAAGGTCACCAATCTCTTTTATTGCCATAAATTATAGACTTACTTCAAAGGACAAAGATTCCTGGAAAATGACTAAAAACCTTAACAGGCATCTTTTGGATGTTTTAAGGTCACCAATCTCTTTTATTGCCATAAATTATAGACTTACTTCAAAGGACAAAGATTCCTGGAAAATGACTAAAAACCTTAACAGGCATCTTTTGGATGTTTTAAGGTCACCAATCTCTTTTATTGCCATAAATTATAGACTTACTTCAAAGGACAAAGATTCCTGGAAAATGACTAAAAACCTTAACAGGCATCTTTTGGGTGTTTTGTGTGATAAGATACACAACTGTGGGACTGGTACAAAACAGTGGACAAATTCATCTCATGGTTCATAAATTTGCACTGGTGGTCAAATCAAGTTACAACTGTTGGGAAAATGTGAAGGAAAGGAGTCTTATCTGACAGTTCCTCGGGTCCTGTGCTTCAGATCATTTCCAAGATTAGTTTCCCGTATTTCTGTGATCAGCTCACTGTTTGTACTTTGATGAGAGGTTATTTTGAATTTTTGTGTTCATAATGAAAAAGACTTTTTGTTCACTGTTGACTGAAGAAGATTGAGTAATATATTGAGTGTTTTTCCCTCAAGTGTTCATGTCTTCAGTGTCATAATAGATTTACCTACTGTCATCTTGATACAAAAGCTGTCCCGAAATTGAAGTGAAAATGGCCATAACTATTAACTTGGTTATTTAATCTTAATGAAATTTCAGCATAATGTACTAACTTTATTTATCTACTTCTGAATGTGACTCCTGCGAAAATCGTATCATTCTAGAAGTGATCTTGTGATCTTCTGTCAATTGTTTTGGCACCCAGTGAGCCGAAACTTTACGGTGTCCAAGCTGATTATGCACACTTCTATAAACAACAATCTTCCAAGATGTCCAGATCATCAGCTGCCAGTCTTCAGAAATCTTTCGGTCACAGAAGACTAGACAGACCAACAGTGTGAATCATCTGCAAGATTTGAATGCTCTGCCTTGAACATGTGCGTAGAGATAGACTTGTTTTTTGCTCATTCCATTTCCATCTTTACCGTAGACAAAAAACAAGTTCAAGATGAATTTCAGTTTCATTTCTCCCTTTCATGTGCTAAAATTTTACAATACCTCTAGCCTCTGACCACTTTCAATGATGGTCTGGTAGCCATATTTCTTCTACCATCACTCATTGGTGCATTTGAGGATACAGACCTGCCATGTAATCCCAGTTGAACCCACTCAGTGCTGCTCGATGTGCAGTAGGAAGATGGCTCAGGACCACGCAAAGGGGAATAAATCCCAGTTGAAACCACTCAGTGCCGCTGGATTTGCAGTAGGAAGATGGCTCAGGGCCACGCAAAGGGGAATAAATCCATGTTTGTGATGTAGTAGGTATTTTTAAAAAATCATTATAGAATAACCAATCCATTGATCAAAAAAAAATCTTGAAACGAGTTCTTCACAAATGAATATATTTTAATTTAAAAAATTACTTGTTTACTGTGTGTGTTGACTGTATTTCATAATTGAAGATAAAATCAGCTGAATCGTAGTCATAGTCATTTGCTCCTCATTGACCTCATTCTCATTGTCCGAATCCCCCCTCAAAGGCATAATTAGATCACCATCAATGTAACGTTCACTTCAATTGCTACCTTTCTGTGGGTTTTCTCCCCCAGCACTGATATTTTCATTAAATATATCCCAAAGTTCACCTAAATCAGTCTGAACGCCATGCGGGCGGCTTGCGAAGAACTCTCGATCTTAGCTTGCGTGACCCGTGTGAACTGCGCTTTGTTTACATATTCAATTTAGTCCAACTAAAATTTACAGAGTTATGTCCCTCATGCTCTCAAGGTGAGAATGATTATCTATTTTCTGATTGGTCGATATGCGGGTTAAATACGATGGTTACCGAGCGTATACACTTCCCTAGAAACAACGCTACTAGCGCCGGCCGGTCTTGACTGTAATGGTACTAGGTTTATCGTAATGGTAATATTAATAGATTTATGAAACAGAAGCGGCTGGCTACGGCCGTTACCTACTGAGTGGGTTAATCGAGATGTCCCGATTTTTTTTACCCCAAATCTCAAGCATCCCGATTTCAATCTCGTGTATCCCGATTTGTTTTGTTCTGTCTGTTGTGGTGGATTTTTCCTAAAAAGTTACTCTGCCTTCATCTCTGCTGTGGGAAGCACATCTTGAACTTTTTGACAGTGGGAAATCGGAGCATTATTTTCAGAAATATCAATGCTGGATTTAGTTGTTGACTCACCTCAAGTTGTGTTATACTGTTATACCGTTGCTCGTTTGTGTTATTTCTACTATGATTATGATTGAAGTAGTATCGATTCTACATTCCTACTTGCGACATTCTCAAGATCTACTTTGGCTTTTGTTACCACTCAGAATACTCCGATGATGGCCTAATAACTGTTACAATTGCGACATACAAATGATCCATGTTATTCATAGTTCTGCTGTCGCTTTCAAAACAAGCTTTGTCCGAGGCCATCAAAGCCTGCCAGTAAAACAGTTTCAATTGTGCATTCACATCACGTGACGTGACGTCGGCGTGTGAGTTTCCTGTGTGTCGGGGACTGTCCATTGACAGGGTCAACTTAAGTTCATAGACACTTGGACTAGAAGCACTGGACGTGATACATCAGGATTTTAAAAAATAAGGATAAAAACGCACACGCACACACAAAGGGCCTATCTTATAGACACCACTGGAATATTTTTAAGTCGACTTGGCAGTCTCCCTGGGTCATTGATCCCGATTTTTTTCTTCAGATCCCAATTCC